GTTCATCTGGATTAATTTGTGGTTCTTCTGGGTTGACTTGTGGGTTATTTGTTTGTTCTTCAGTCATTTTGTTTATGTTTTTAAGTTCTTTATCATCTTTTAAATCCTTTTAATTCTTAAGAGTTAACCTTTGATATTTTTAGTCTTCTTTTGGGGATTAAAGGTGTCATTTTAAGTTCTTTTAACGTTATTAGTTCTGAGTAAAATATTAGTGTTATAAATAGCAATTTTTACAAAAAGTTGTTATTTAATAGCATTATATTCAATAATACATTATTTAAACAAATAAAGGACATTTAAACCAAAGTAAACAAAGAAAATAAATTTAAACTATAGACATGATTCTTAACTTATCTAAAAGTTAAGACATAGTGATGACTTGTTACTACAACGTTCAATATGAATATCTTCATTGACTACAGACTCAGTTCCTACAACAACAAAATCTTCTTCATAATCAAGAAACATATTTTCTACTTGATCAAGGTTGTTTGTTGTTGGTTCAATTAAACTTGAAGGACGGACATATTGCCTGACTACTATAAGTGGTGTTTTTTGACAGTAAATAGTTTTACATTTAATCAAATGTGTAAAGGATGTGTTGAAACTCATATTCTAATTAATACCATTTTCCAATTCCCCTTTAAATATTTTGCTGGTGTATTTCTGGAATGTAACCTTATCTATAATCCATCATTCTTTCCCATTAATTCTTCTTTTTGAAATTTCCACTACAACTAAATTACTTTTTAAATTACGAAAGACAAGTCAAACTTTTATTTTAGACTAAATGCAATTAATGTTTCAATGTATCTTTTTTTTATAAGTTGTGGAGAACAGGTTTGACGTCATTCTTACTTTCGTAAATCATTTTCTTTGAATCTCTTGAAAAAAAACAATTACTAATTTCAAGAATGAATTGTCTTAGTTCTATTTTTGTGTTTCTAGAAACTAAATAATATTCTTTTCTTTTTGTTTTCAATTTCGTAAGATGTTTTGTATTCTTTTTAGAAAAATCTCTTTTGAATTTCCTTACTCTTGATTTTTAGTTGATTTTGTTTTGATTTCAACAATACTTTCACAATATTCTTGAAACTAAAGTTATAGAAAAAAGATATGTTCTCAAATTACCCAAAAAAACTTTGAATTAATTCTTGAAAAACAAATACTAAATAGAATATTATAGAAAAAAGTTTATGTAAGTAAATTACTTCAGTTAGTTTATGTCTTATAACAAATTTATTTATTAAAATCATTTTGATGTTTCTGTAAAAAAAATTAAAAAACAATTCCATTTTTGTGTTTGTTCTTCTAATTAAAAATTGAATTTAATTACTTTAGAATTTTTTTACAAATATATTATTTCTATTAAATGAATCAAACTTAATTCAATAACACATTTATTCTCTTCTGAAGATATTATATAAATAATTATTATTCTACAACAATATTTTAATATCTTATTTAAATGAAAGATTATAGAACCAATCACTAATAGAAGAATAAAAATAAGTCTTATATAAAAATGGTTAATTAGTATGATATAATTCAATATTATTATTCTAAGAACTTCACTTTCTATCTAACTATATATCTTCTATTGAATATATTTGATTTTGATATATAAATATTTTAAAATAAAGTATATTATATTTTACTATATCATATATTGGATTTGTTCATATCTTATTTCATTAATTATTTGTTATTTTTGAATAGATGGTTATCTTTTTTTCTAACATATTCTTTCAACATTGACCAGATTGTTAAATCAAAAATAAATAATTCAATTTATACATAATACATAAAAACATTCTTTTATATATTTCTTTATCATCATATAATGTTGAGTATCTAATATTATCAAAATGTCATTATATCATTATCTAAGAAGTAGTGTTGATGCATATTTTTTTTTGGACTTTTTAATTTTTTATTAACTAATCTATAATATTCAAGAAATAGGATTTCTTGAATAATTTTATTTTCTTTTAGCCTGCTTTATCAATTTTTTTTCATTATATTTTAGTTACTCTACAATTTAGTATTAATTTTTTACTTTTATTGTTTTATTTTTTTTCATAAGTTCTCTATTACATTAACATAGACTAAGTTTTTAAGGAATTAATATAATCCCTTTGTTTTTTGTTCAAACTTTCTTTATTTTATTTATTCATATCATCACATCATCTTATTATTTTCTTACTTCTTAATGATGACTATTCATATTTGATTTGTTAATTAATCTGATTCTTTTATTCTTTATTATCTCTCATTTTGTAGTCAATATATTATTTATTTCAACTATTATTTATTCTTCTAATTACAATTATTATATTTTTTTGAATTAATTCGTATTAATAGCAATAATTCGTATCTAATAAATTTTGTTATTTTATTTCACCCATAAACAAAAGAAACTTTGAAGTAGAATATCAATTTAACGTTTATCTTTTTATATAATTTATTATCGTTCTTAGAAGAAAATAAGTTAGTTTTTTTTTCAATATTCCTTAATTCAATTGAATTAAAATTTTCTTTAAACAAAACCGACCAAGATATTTTTTTCCCAAACTTATATGATTTTGTTTTGAGGTAGAGTTTATTGTCCTTACACCTTATGAGAATAAGACTATTCATTTTGAAAGAAATTTTAGTATGTAATGTTCATTTAGAATTAATACTTGTTTATTATACTATTTTAGATTATCTATGTTTTTTTTATGTCAAATTATTCCTTCTTAACAAGAACTTTTCTCAATAATATATATTCTTTATTATTATGAGAGTTCCAATTTTGGGGTTGTCATAAATAATTATATTGACATAAGATACATAATGGTTTAGAGGTATATCAGAATTACCTTCAATTGAATGTCTAAGACGATTCAAATAAACCATTCTTGAATCAAAAAGGATCTAATAAAAATACAAAAGATAAAAAATAAGACTTCAGTTTGTTCCAAATTTAAAGTCCTTGGACAACCCCACATGACGAGATCCTATTGACTCAATATAATTGTACTTCACTTTCTGAATGTTGTTTCTTTGGATGACTAAATAAGTCAAAATCAGAAGAGAAGAAATCATTATCATCTTCAATAGTAAACAAATCATTATCGATAGTATTTGTTGAAGAATCAGCAGTTGTCTCTGAATTAAAGAGAGGTTCTCTTTCTATTTTGTTTGTTAAAATAATTCTGCGTTTAGGCTCTTCATTTTCCATTGTAGTTTCTTCTTTTTCTTGTAACCTTCTTGGATCTCTTGGCATATTAAATACAGGAGCTGGGTCACTAAATTCTTTTGAAGCTTTCATTTGTTGTTGAAGTGTTTCGTGTTGAATTAGTCCAGGTCTTCGAGGTTTCTTTTCAGATTTCTTTTTTAAGTTTTGACGATGTTTATTATATCCTTTTTCACGTTCAATCAATCCTTTTGCTCTCTTTTCTTTAGGAATGAATTTACTTTCAACATATACCATTGTTGATTGTTCTGGAGGAAATAAGTCTTCAATATGACTATTAGTATCTTCCATTGGTTTATTATTTACCATAGACTCATCTTCAGTTGTGGAATCAAATCCAAATTTAATTTCTTTTTCTTGAAATAAATCGGTCATTAATGAAGTCTTTTGTCATAAAAAGATTGTTTTTTTGTCTTTTTTATTCTCCGTTTAAATAATTGTTTTACTTCAAAATAATTTATTGATTCTCCAAACCAAAAAAATACCAATAAAAAGTAATTAATTTTATCTGATAAAAACTAATTAGTTATTAATAAAATTCTAAACTGTTATTATTGTCAATCTTTTTATTTGAAAGTTGTCATTTATAACACCATTACATTATAAGAATATTAAATACATTTAATCATATACATTTATTATTTATTTCATTAGTTTAATTAAATAATTTATTTATCCATTTATTGTTATTGAAAAGACTTTTTTATTAAATAATTATTAAGTTCGTTTATGTGTATTTTTTTGAAATGTCTAATAATTTATTTATCATGAATAAATTAGTTATTAATATTATATTATTTTCTAATAAAAACTTATTTCTTTTTAATAATGTTATTTTTCATTCAAAAATTAAAAAACAAAATAAATCAATTATAACTTACTAAATAATTAGTATTTCATCATATTGAGAGATGAATGACTCATTTTCTTCAACACATTTTATTTTTATTAAATTAAATTCTTTTCAAATATTATTGAATTAAATGTTATTCATTTAAATTGTTATTTTGATTGTTATTTTGAATTTGATGAGTATTAAAACTCTTCACTCTTTATAGTATTTTTTTATTTTGAATGTATCAATAACACTATAACTATATTTCATCTTCTTCAATATCAACAACCACTTTATAATCACTTTTTTCTTTATAATATTACATATTTGTTCGATTCAAAATATTATTATCAAATATACTTGATTCTTAATAAATACTACTCTAATCATAACATAATAAATACTTCTTTACGAGTTATTCATAATAAATAATAACAAATTAATTTTGAATAAATATTATATCACCAACAGCAACATCATAGCCAGATAGTAACTAGGATGGTTCAGTGTTTTCATTTATTTTAGGGTTCAGAGTAGTGCCTCTGAATTATCGTCTTCAAATCTAATATTACTTTTATATAAAATAAGTAATAAAAATGAAAATACCTTTTTCGTTAAATAAAAACAAATAGAAATAAAAAATTAAAAACTATAAAAGAATCAAAAGTAATGAAATTAGTCATTGTTATTTGTTTGTTTATTCAAGTACAATCAGAACGATATAATGCTGCATCACAACCAAATGAATTTCAAATAAAAGGAGATGCGTATACAAATGGAAGGTATATGTATATTACTGCAGATAAAAAAAGTCAAAAAGGTATGGTTTCATTAAAAAAACGTATAATTAGTGATTATTTTAATGTAACGTACGAATTTTCATTACTTTCTATTTCCAATAAAAAACATGGAGATGGAATGGCATTTTGGTTAACTCCAGAACAACTTGATATTGGAACAGCATTAGGTGGACAAGAACAATGGAAAGGATTGGCTATATTCGTTGATACATTTCAAAACTCATATGCTTCAATTCCAAGTATTCAATTGATTTATAATGATGGAACTTTAACATACGAACCAAAAAGAGATGGAATTGATATTTCAAAAAGAACATGTTCATTTACGATTGATCGTAATTCTCCACAACGACTAACAGTTAATTATATAAATGGTAAAATTAATATTGATTTTAATAATGAGCAATGTACTTATTACAATCAAAAATTACCAAAAGGACTTGTTGTCAGTGTTTCTGGATTAACTGGTGAATTATCAGATACACAAATTCTTAACTCAATTGAAATTGAAGATATTACTCCTTCAACAACACATAACATCAATCCTCATTATATTGGTATTAATCTTGATTCAATAACAAGAGAATTTACTGCATTAGAACTTGGAAGAGAATCATCGTATAACTTAAAAATAATTTATGACACAATTCATGAAATTGATAAATCAACTGCAATAACCAAAAAATTTGTTATTGCACGACAACAACAACTAAATAAGATATTAGAGTCATTAGAAAACGTCCCAAAAGGTTTACCTACAAAAGCAATTGATCAATTTATATCAACAACAACAATCCAACTCGGTAACTTATATGATTTATATGAATCAATGAGACAAACTGCTGATGACCTTCTTGAAAGAATTAGAAAAAATACAATTCTCCAAGAAAAAATAGTTGTGAACAAACTCACTATATGGGATTATTTACTGTTTTTAAATGGTATTATTCTTGCATCAGTCTTAGTTTATATAACTTTAAAAGTAATACATTCACAATCCAATAATTTTTAATTGAAATATTAAGAATAAATTATTTCTCTTTAATAATTAAACTTTTCTTAGAAAAACAAAAAAAATAATACTAAAAAAAAATCAATTCAAAATAATTGAAGCTAATAATTGCTTGATAAGGAAATCATCACAATCACTTAATTCTTTCATTGCATTAACATATTCTTCAGAATCAGCCTTAATCTTCTTAATTATATCTCTAACTTTAGATACATCACATTTATATTTACCATCATACTTAGCTTTATATTCATCAAAAGCTTTTTTGGCTTTTTCTTCATTCAATTCAATCTTAAAGTAATCAACCCATAATTTAGTTTCACGTGCTCCACTTTCAGCAGAATCACTTGAATGGAAACAATTAATTCCACCACAACTTCCAAACTTACCTCTAAGGCATTCTACTTGAATTGCCTTTTCAACAAAAGTTGGACCAAATACTTCTCTAATAGTTTTAACAGCATTAACACCTTCAAAAACCATAACAATAACTCCATTTGGGTTACAAATGAAATTAAGAAGTTTTGGGAAAAAACCTTTTCCTTTATGTTCTTCATAATGTTGTTCTGCCAACTCAGTTGGTACAACATGATGTTCAAAACAAAGAAGCTTTCCTCCATTAATAGACTTTAGTAATGTTTCAACTGCAGTAATAGGAGCTTGTCTGAGACATACAGCATCTGGTTTAGCAAGAACAAGAGCTCTTTCTACTGACATCTAAAATAACTTGATATATTATAAGTTCATTACTCCTTTTTATAAACTTCTTTCACTTCTAGAACTCAATACTCTTCTATTAATTTCTTCATATGAGTGAAGATTTTTCATTTTTCTTCTCCAAAAAGTGGATTTTTCTATTAACTCTTATAATGGAAATTGATGTGTCAACAAATATTATAAATCTATATTAAATACAATTATTTTTGTTTTTGACCAGATTTTATGGAAAAGAATTACACAATACATTAAGTAGTCAATAGTAAATCATCACTTAAATCAATTTTGTTACATTTTATTTTTTCTTTTATTTTATAACAAAAGAACATATCACTTCTATCACTTTTTTTAATCTCTATCTTATTTCTAATCTCTTCATCTTAATTTTTATTTCCAAATCCTACGTCATTTCATAATTATTTCTAGTTTTTAGTTATTTATGTTTTTTATCAGTATTTTTGATAAAGTCTTTCTATTCAATCTATTTATTATTTAGCTAATCTTTTTACTTATACATCTATTAGTATGACTATTAATTTTATAATTTTACAATTACTAACTTTTTGTCTATTCCTAGTTTTATTGAAATAATATACTTTTGTAAGAAAGATAAAACTTACATATTTTGATGGTGTAGTGGTTATATTAGAAGTGTATTTATTAATCCTTTTATTTTTGTTATGTATATTTGTTATTTTTAAAATTTGGATTAATGAGAATTATCCTCCTAATTCATGAAAATGGATTTATAAATGAAATATTTAATATTATTCATATACTTTGTAGTTTCAATTGGACTATATTATAGTTCATCATTATCAATATGAACAAAAGAATTCTAGACATATCAAGACTAAGAAAAACATATTACTAATTAACATTCTTTTTATTAAGCAATAACTTATAACAACGTCTGATGTTTAGTTTAGTATTAATAAGGCATTTTTATTAAAACCTTTTATTACCAAACTGTTTTAATTCTTCTCATTTGTTCATATGAATTATAATATAAAAGGTTCTTTTGAGACTCTGACAAATAAAAAGAATGGAGAATTACTGTTAGATATGTTTCATATTACCATAATACTCTAAATAATTCATTCTAATCTACTGTTCATGAAAAAGTGTGTTCAAGTAATTTCATGAACGGATTAACATACTTGTCTATTCTTTGTGACAACGAAATACACATAAGGCACGTTTGATTATTTACCAATTATACAAGAATATTTGTTTTATTAAATTAATGAACGTAAACGAAGGAAATTAAATTCAAGGAAAGAAGAAATTTCAACAATAGAAAGAGTTATGAAAAAATAAAGAAAATTTTTATTAATTATAAATTCTCAAAATAATGAAACTTCGAAAACAATGGAAAGGCACAGTAATTTGAACTTTTATATTTATTTCTAATTATTAAAAGTTCAAAAAATAAAGAAAAAGGGTGAGAAGCAAAAATTGAAGAAGAGAGAATGAAAGAAAGAAGAACTAAAAAATAAAATAGAGATGGATGTGTTGTCGATACAAATAGTGGGGTCGTACTTTAAGGAGTTGAGAGATATTGAGAGGTATGTGATGGTAAGTAGAAAGTACGGGAGAAGTGTGAGAACAAGTAAATATCCTAGCTTAATACCTTATAGTAAAGAGTTTAAAGAAGTATTTCCAATGGTGACTTCAGTGATAATAAATAACCGGAGTATTGAGAGAATGGGTGAACTAATATGGCAAGAAGGTCTAGAGGGAATCAGAGGGATAGAGATTGAGATAGATGAAAAAACCCCAGAAGAAGCTCTTTATATAGAACCAGAAATATTTGGGAAGATACAAGGAATAAGTATTAGAAAAGGAAGACGAACAAGGAACGTATATTTAATAATGAATGAAATAGGGATGTTTAGTAATTTAAGACGATTAGAAATAGGAAGTGAATTAATTATGTGGAAAAATGATGGGGAAAGAAGAACTAAAGAAGAAATTGGGGAGATGATTGGGAGGTCATACCTAAAAATGATAATCATACACCATTTTGATATTGTGGAACATGAAATAATTAAAGAGGTAATAGGAAGGTGGCGTGGTCAAGGCATTTGTTATTTAAAGAAAGGAATAGAATCAGGGATTGTACAGAAAAACATAGCAAATACACCACGAAATATGCTTTATTTTTTAACAAACAAAAAAATAACTGATGAAGATGTAAAGTTATTATCAACACAAATAGTTTTATATAAGAAAGTAATCAAAGGAATAACAATGACAAAACCAACAAAAGAGATTGCACAGTGGAGGTCAATCTTTGTGTTATATGGGATCACTTGTTTTGGAATAGGAAATTGTACAGCAGACAAAGGGCATAAAATTTTTTTTAAGTTACCACTGATAAAAAAAGTAGAGCTAAAAGGTGAGTTAATTCAAAGACCTTGGTTTTTCCAATCTCTTGAAAGTCTTAGGTTCAAAGAAGAAATAGAAAGGGGAGTAGAAAAACGAGGTAGAATGACTTGGACGTATGATATATTTCAGACTTTGAGAAGAATGAAATTGTATTGTAGTATTGAAACAATGGTATCAATCAAATTGCCAAGTGGACTAGAAAGTCTCAAAGTAGTGTTTCAAGGAGATGGAAGACTAGAAGATGAATGGAGACTAGAACAGATACAACTGAAAGAATTGAAGATGAGCAATCTTGATAAGGAAGCTCCTATTTATCTTCCAAATACTTTAGAAAGGATAGGTATCAAGAATATAAGGGATAAATATTATGATCTATATCGACTCTATGAATATAAAGAATTGAAAAGAATTAAGGTTAAAGAATGCAATGACATGCAACGGTTATTAATACCTGAGAAAGTAGAAGAAATCAGAGTCAAAGGATGCAATAAACTTGAAGAAATATATAAGATAGAAGAAAAGAAGGAAATACGAAAATTGAAAATAGTGGATTGTCGAAAGTTAAAGATTAAGGGAATTCCAGAGAGGGTAGAAGAACTAACTATAAAATACTGTGATAGTATAAGGAAAGTGGAGGTTAAAGGAAGAAAACAGATGACTCACGTTGAAATAAGTAGTAGATTAGAGGAATTAACACTTATGGCAAAGGTTGAGGAGTTGATACTAAGAATGCCAAAGGAAGGAATTGATGAAAATAAAAGTTATATCAATGTAGAAGGTGAAATGAGAAAGATGGAAATTGAATGGGACAAGAAAAATATAAAATACCCAGAAAGAATTAAAGAATTACGAATTAAAGGGATAGAGGGAATAGAGAGTTTTGAAGGGCTTCCTGACAAGAACCTCCGAACTTTAGTGATTAGCAATGTAAGTGCAAGACAAGGAATAAATATTCCAACTAGTTTAGTGGAACTTCAAATAGAAAATTCTAAAGTAGGGAATTTGTATTCCTTGAAGAATTGTCATTATTTAACATCAATTGAAATGCAAAATTGTGAGGATATTAGTACAATTTCAATCCCATATAATGTTTTAATGATTAAGTTAAAGACTTTACCATCATTGACAGGGTTAATTCATATACCAAATTCACAACTCAAATCAATGGAAATAGAAAATTGTACATCAATTGAAGTTTTACAAACACCATTTTCATTGAAGACACTAATATGTAAATTGTGTTATAACCTAGGAACATTTTTAAATCTAAACATCACAAAAATTGTATATTTCGAGTTATCAAATAATTCAAAAATCAAAGTAATCAACCTTCCACTCACTATTTGTTATCTTTCAATCAATTCTTGTTATTGTCTTAGTTCAATAGTTGGGTTAGACTCATTATATACATGCTATTATTTGCGAATCACACATTGTCCCACATTAACTACTTGCACTATTCCACAAACTGTTAGGCTTTTTGATATCAGCCAGAATGCATTTGAAATTGCTTATTAAGAAATGGCTAGTGTTTGATTTGTATTTAAAAAGAATGACATAAATATGCTTTAAATATTAGGTATAGTTTAATACTATTTCATTTCATCTAGTTAAATTTGATTTGAATTGAATCAATGATGGAAAAACTAACTAAACACTGATCAAGGCAAAAGGTAAATGTTATAAGACATACAATGAGAAGAAGGGGAAAGAGAAAAGAAATATACTTTGGGTGTAAAATACGAGATAAAGTTTGGGCAAAGAGATGATTGGGATAATGATAAAGCACAGCCACAACAAAAAGACAAATCAATATTGAAAAACCAGCTGTGGGGAAGAAACAAAACTGAGAAGTAAAAGAGGTTCAGAAGTAAAAGCCACAAAAATATAAA